TATATTGTGGTAGTAAATATATAACTCTATGTATCTGTCAAAAAACATAGGCCTGTACAACACAAAGAATACATTTTATTGTATATAAAATTCTTTATTGCATATAAATTTTAAAAAATTAACCATGATGTCAGGGGATCTCAAGCTGGCATGCAGATGGCAATGCACCTGACTCACAGAGTGGCAATCACAATGAAGGAGATGGACAAGAAAAGACTCAATCTAAATAACTTTAGAAAACAGTGTTTTGTTTGGATGCTACAAGACTCACGACAAAAATAAATGTATACTGTATCTACCTGCTATTATTTGTTTCTCACTGGGTTAGCAGTTGTGAAACCAAATGTATACTTTGGTTGAACAAAAGAAGTTTTCTGTAGATATTGAGAGCCATGTTTCTCACTGGGGAAAGAAGTTAAAGTAAGCTAAAAGTGAATGCTAGAATGAACCCTGTTTTAGATTGAAGTCAGGAGTATCAGAATAATCTCATTTTTTTACATAGATACATAGATAGGTATGGATACAGAAATAAATATAATTATGTATGTACATGTAGGTTAGTATTCATGCATATATTTCCTAGTTTTATCTGCTAAGAGAAGCTGGAAACAGGGATACCTCAGTAGCAATGAGCATATTTACAGCCCAGACCTTAGTTCTTAAATGCTGTTCCCCAGTAAAAGGACATTGGTTTCTTAGAGAAGCGGTTGATTCCACAAAATGATGACGACGACGACGATGATGATGATGTGGTGGAACGTGTCCAAAGGACACGGGAGTGAACATGAAAGAGCAGGAACAGTTTGACTGACAAATAAACATAACCGTAATATTGGGATATATGTAATATTTATTAAATAAGTTATACATTATTATATAATGAATAAATAGCTATACACTCATACAAATGTAAATGATTAACAAAATGGAGAAGGGACACACAACAATTCTTTACAAAAGAATTTCAATTACTAAATGTAGAATCAATGTGGAAAATAATCATCACTAGTGTATCCCAGTAATCACTGTTGCAGATAAGATCCACTAATGGATGCTAAAATTAATGAATGAAACCTTAATGAGAAACAATGTATCTATATAGCCTCTAAATATTTATTAATTACAAAAAACAGTAACCTTACATTGGGGAAGCCAGGCAGATACCACCTGAACCATGTCATCACAATTAACATCACCAACAATGTTGTACCTCCTGATATGATGTGCTGCGAACACACTGCTTGTGAGGTGTTCTTCCCCCCAAAATCTGTAACTTCAATCTAATCATGAGAAAACAGTAGGGAAATCCAAACTAGTAGATATTCTATAAAATACCAAATTTACTGACACACCCATAATTTTTTTCCTAGACGCTTATAATGTTTTCTTGTAACTTTAGGTCAGTAGTATGTTTTGAATTAATTTTTTGGTAAGGTGTGTGTGTGTCAAAGTTCTTTTCGTTCTTTTTTCCTTCTGCATGTGGATTTTCAGTTATCTCAGCACCATTTGTTGAAAATATTGTCCTTTCTCCACTAAATTGCCTTTGCGTCATCATTAAAAATTACGTGTGAGTCTCTGTCTGTGGTCTGTATTCTGTTCTATTTATCTATATGAGGGTATGTTAAAAAGTTCATGGAAAATGGAATTAAATGACAAGTTTATTTTGGTACAAAATTTTTTTTTAAATCCATGCATACTTTTTCCATGACATGCATTTTTCCACCCCTCAGTATGTCTATTGTTTTCACCAATATGTTGTCTTGATTACTGTAGCTTTACAGTAAGTCTTGGAATTAATTAAGTGAATCCTCCATTTTTTTTAAATTGTATTAGCTGTTTTTCTCTATCTTTCCATAAAATCTTACAACCAACTTGCTGACATCCATAAAAAAGATTGCTGTTATTTTGAGGTTGACCTGAGTCTACAGACCCCACATTGGAAAAAACTGACATTTTCAGTCTTGAATGCTCCAAACTATGAACAAAAATCTACACAAAAATGTACTTATTTAGAGCTTTGATTTCTTTGATCAGTATTTTATAGCTTTCTGTATATAGATCCTGCACATAATTTGTTAGCTATATCTCTAAGTATTTCACTTTTTGGGTTTTTATTGGAAAGGCACTATTTTTTGAAATTCAACTTTAGTACAAACAGTGACTGCCTTTTTTTTTTTTTAATTTTTTTGATAGGCAGAGTGGACAGTGAGAGAGAGAGAGACAGAGAGAAAGGTCTTCCTTTGCCATTGGTTCACCCTCCAATGGCCGCTGTGGCTGGCGCGCTGCAGCCGGTGCACCGCGCTGATCCGATGGCAGGAGCTAGGTGCTTCTCCTGGTCTCCCATGGGGTGCAGGGCCCAAGGACTTGGGCCATCCTCCACTGCACTCCCTGGCCACAGCGGAGAGCTGGCCTGGAAGAGGGGCAACCGGGACAGAATCCGGCGCCCCGACCGGGACTAGAACCTGGTGTGCTGGTGTTACAAGGCAGAGGATTAGCCTAGTGACTGCCTTTTTATGCCAATTTTGAATCCTGTGCTCTTGCTAAACACATTTATTAATTCCGAAAGTTTTGTATTCTTTGAGATTTTCTACAAGTCATGTTTAAATACTACTAATAATACTAATTTATACATTTCAGAACTTAGTCTAACGAATGCAATTCTTTTTAAATAACAATATTCTCAACAAGTTTCACAGAACAAAAGGTGATAATGACTGGCCAACCTCAGCAGTTAACAATCAAAGAGATATCATTCTGTATCATAAAACCAGTTCAAAAATTCTGCTCTGATAAAATGAGAAACAGAAAATGTTAACAGAGGCTCAATCTTATTACCATGTCCAATGAAAAGCATGTGAATATTTATAGTAACATCTTAATTTTGTTATTAAAAATTTGTCCCTCAAACTGTTTTTTTGTTTTGTGTGATACCTTAACTCCAGATAGCATTGCCTACATCTGCAAATTAATCTTAAACTTCCAAAAAAGTAATTCCAAATGGCTGTTTTACCTGTTGATGTGTTATTCTGGTCCTTGTCATGTTAAAAGGCTATTCATACTTGGACACTTTGTTAAATCAGATGCAGATTATGTGTACTTCTTATAAGCACAGAAGAAAAATAAAACTCATTACTAGGTAGGAGTCCTTTGTCTCCCTTAAATTGATTAAGATAATTCTGTATGTTTTCAGCTAGTACGAGAAAAGCAAACATGTTTGTAACTGAGAGCAAACAAGGGAATCAAGGAGCTGAAGTCAATGCCTAACATGTAACTGCTCTTGACCATCCTTCTGCTGCATCCTACCAATGGAATGAGACACTTTCACCACCAAGGTTCTTCGGTGAATGATCTCGATGCAGGTATGTGGCATTTCAAGTCAAAGTCAATCAATGTATGCAAAAGAAACTGCAATGTGGTACAAACTGATGTTCAATAAATATGGTTCTACCTCTTCTCCATTAACAAATCAGTTTAGATATAATCCTTGCAAACTTCCTTCAAATTAAAATATGAATGTGGTTCACATATAATTGAATAATCTGTTGAGAATTCTTGTTTATAACTATACAGTCTAGCATTACATCCTAATCATTTTTGCTTATGACTGAATCTTTAGCTGAATGTTATTCTATCAGTCTGATCATTTCCATATTATTGAGTGTAAATTGTGTACAGTTGAATACACAGCAGATGTATTCACCAATCTGTATATAATTTCAAATGGCTTGTTGCTTCTGGAAGCCTGTAAATGAAGGCAAATGATTGAGAATCAAGAAATTCTTTATGCAGCTTTGACATTTGGCTTCATTTTCTTATCTACAAGTGCCAACAAAATTAATTTCACATTGTCATGGTTCTGGGTCTACAGAAAACTGAAGGAGAATGATCCAGAATCACCATATCGTAAGAGCAGGTAATATTTACTGAGTGGGCACTGCTCTAAGGATTTTACTCTACTGGGGCTGGCACTGTGGCACAGCAGGTTAATACCCTGGCCTGAAGTGCCGGCATCTCATATGGGCACCGGTTCAAGACCTGGCTGCTCCACTTCCGATCCAGCTCTCTGCTATGGCCTGGGAAAGCAGTAGAAGATGGCCCAAGTCCTTGGGCCCCTGTACCCACATGGGAGACCTGGAAGAAGCTCCTGGCTCCTGGCTTCGGATCAGCGCAGCTCCAGCCGATGCAGCCAATTGGGGAGTGAACCATCAGATGGAAGACCTCTCTCCCTCTCTCTCTGCCTCTCCTCTCTCTGTGTAACTCTGACTTTCAAATAAATAAGTAAATCTTTTTTTTTTTTTTTTTAAAAAAAGGATTTTACTCTATGGCAAAAGGAGGCTCAGCAAACTACCCAAGCTCACACACCTAGCAAGTGTCAAGGCTATGATTTTAAAACAAGTATTCAAGTCGTATTCTTACTCTGTATCATATTGCTTCTCATATACCACACAAAAATGTGCCCTGAAATTCTTGTTGCCTAGCTACTAAAACAAAAATCCCATTATGAATTGAGGTTGGAAGAGCAGAGGGAATCTCTATCCTTGTTGGAACAGAGTTCTCTGCTCAAATACATCCCTATTCCGAAAAGCCTCAAAAAACAAAGTCCTCGTTAAGCCATCTACTTTACCTTGTTGTCTAACTCGACTCTGTGCAGAAGAGTAAGAATATGTGGTAAGTAACTGCAAGTAGGTATATCAGCCTGTAACAAATCACTGTCTAAAATAACGGTTTAGTATAATCCTGCAGATTTTATTTCTATACCATATGAATGCTTAGTAAAAAGAGCCAACAGGATTAACTGAATGATTTGCAAAAACGGTTACATAACTAAGTAGACAGATACGGCAGCTGCACTGGGGAGTGGGATCGATGCCCTGAACCTGTGACATTCAGGTGGGAGGCAGACTTAGGGCTAGATCAAGGATGCTTCTTGGACAGGACAATTCAGGAGGACATCAGACTTGTCCATGTTTTCACAGAAGGAAGAGGAAACACAAGCTCACCTTTACTTTTCAGACGTGCAGCACTGGTTCTCCTCTCTCTCCAGAACAGCCTTCCTTGGGGAAAAGGAGGGACGGAGGGTGGGGGTGTGAGACACCTGGCCTTTACTGACGCCTGCTCAGAACCCAGCCTTTATGACGACGCCCGGCCCCGACTCCCCCGTGCCTACGCAGAGAACGTCTAGGTTCGCAGCTCTTCCAGCACCTCAGAGGCCACCCTTACGGCTGCCCTCCTAAACTCCCATCCCTGGCTTCCTCCTTGTTTTATTTTTTTCTCCGCAGCTGGGTCCCTGCGGAGGGGAGGACAGGGGTGCGCGGGGCCGCCTCCGCCAAAAACCGAGCCCCGTATCTAATTACCACCACACGACCTCAACCTCGCCCCACCCGTGCCGACCCTGGGGGGGACGTAGAGAGCAGGACTCTCGGGCCCCGGCAGCCTGGCCGCGTCCTCAGCTCTCCCAATCACATGCCCATGCCCCGCCGGGTCCACAGCTACCCCGACCGGGGCCCGCGGCCGCTCGAGTTCACGCTCACCATCCTCAGGCAGCGCAGAGAACCACCACTCCCCGAGGTCAGCGGCGCCAAGCCCGGGGATGCGCCTGTCGCAGCCCAGGGCACGCCCCGCACCTAAGAGCAGGTCCACGGGCGCAGAGGCTGCCGCCGACGGCGGCGGAGGCAGGCACTCAGCCTGGTAGGGATGAGCCGGCGAGTGACTGGCGCTGTCAAGAGCCCTTCGTGCCTGGAGGCCTCTGGGAAATGTGGGAAGGGCCCGGAAAGGAGGCGCGGAGACTGCTGGGAGTTGTAGGCTCAGCGTGGCGGCCGCCGACGGAAAGGGGAAACAAGCGGGTGCCCACGCGGCCTGCTGGTGGCTGCTAGGCTGGGGCCCGGGTCCTGAGGCCGGCCCTCGAGAGGCGAGCTAGGATTGTGGGGCGCAACGCTCTGAGTGTGCCCCTGTGTTTGTGCGTGGGGCTCCGCCTGCGTGTCATCCTTTGGATGGTGTGCTTCATGGAGACCCCTCAGCGATTGCTGGCTGTCACGCCCAGCTCCGACACCTGACGTAGGCGGCTGTGCGGTGGCGGCTCGGTTCGTGACTCGGTTCGTGACGTGCCTGAGGCTGTTTATCCATGCAGGCGTCGGCGCCCCACGCGGGGCGGCTTTAATAGCCAGCGCTTCCGATTAGTGTTCTCCAGGGGACCGTGTATGAGGCTGGGTATGGCATTCTGATTAACCGCCCGTGGGTCAGGTGTGCCCTCAGGAGTGTGCAAAACTGGGAAAGGGAGAGGTTAAATTCGTCATTACTTAGAGACTGTTATACGAATGTGTGCCTGGACCCGTTCCAAGCCGTTGAAATGGCACGGCTCCATAGTAACATGCAAGGGAATAACTACTATACATATGTGTGTTACTTTTTCCCTCTACTTGGCCCTTGCAAGTTTCACTGAGTTTCCTGCTTCTGAATATGAAATCTTGGATGAGTCCAATGGCTGCCTCAATCACTCTTAGGTAATAACTTTTAAAATGTTATTTTAACTATTTTAGCTAAAAGATGAGACGTTTTAGTGGTTAAATAATTAATATGTCCCATTTAATGATCACATCAGAATTCATTTAGGGGTCAGCGCTGTGGCATGGCGGGTTAAGCCAACGCCTACATCATTGGTATCCCATATGGGCAGCGGTTCCAGTCCCGGCTGCTCTGCTTCCGATTCAGCTCATTGCTAATGCGCCTGGGAGAGCAGCAGAGGAGTGCCCAACTGCTTGGGCCCCTGCAGCCACCTGAGAGGCCCGGATAAAAACTGGCTCTGGCTTCAGCCTGGCCCAGCCCCGGTTGTTGTAGTCATTTGGGATGCGAACCTGCAGATGGAAGATCTCTCCCTCTCCCTCTCTCCCTGTAATGCTTTCAAATAAATAAAATAAATCTTAAAAGAAAAGAATTCATTTAAAGCAAGCACATCCCATCCTCTGCCCTCACTTCCAAATATAGTTGTATCACAATGGTTAAAGTAATATTTGGCTTATATCATAAACACACAATTTTGCCTCAGAGCCAAGTAGATTTTTTCATGTTTTTATTTATCCTGAATTTAATAAACTTGTTTTGTATTTACATTTACTTTGCTGTCTTGTATTTGTTCCTATTGCTACCTCTTCCCAAATGTTACAACAAATACATCAAACTCCTTGCAATGTTTTTTCTAAGTGTCAGACTTTTCTGGTGTCTTTGCTTCCTTTGCAGAATCCTTCCTTCCTCCCTCCCTCCTTTCCTTCCTTTCTTCCTCTCTCTCTCTCTCTTTCTTTCAAGACTTATTTATTTATTTGAAAGTCAGAGTTACACAGAGAGAGAAGGAGAGGCAGAGAGAGAGAGGTCTTTCATTTGCTGGTTCACTCTCCAGTTGGTGGCAACGGCCAGAGCTGCGCTGATCCGGGGCCAGGAGCTTCTTCCGGGTCTCCCATGTGGGTGCAGGGGCCCAAGGACTTGGGCCACCCTCCACTGCTTTCCCAGACCATAGCAGAGAGCTGGATCAGAAGTGGAGCAGCCAGGTCTTCAACCGGTGCCCATATGGGATGCCGGCACTTCAGGCCAGGGTATTAACCTGCTGTGCCACAGTGCCATCTTTAGAATTGGGTATCTTTTTTTGGGGGGGGGGTCCTAAACTCTCAGAGATACCAAAGAGCAACTATAGATATGACTATGTATCTATTTGTTGTTCTCCTGGCTCCACGAATTGTATCTGTTATGACCAAATTTATTTACTTTTTTGAATGTTCTCTCCCTTTCATACTGGAATTTTTCTCATATATGTGATGATAACCCTCCTAATCATGGGTTAGAACTTATCTAACAGACTTCAGAGCCAGCCTTTTCTTTGGAGACCCAAAAAGGTCTAATCTCTTTGCTGTTTAATTTTTCCTTAGAAGGCTCATCCCAGGCTCTTAAGTCTGTGGAGTTGCTGGTGCAGGGGGAAGATGGGAAAAGAGCCGAAGAGGCCTTCTGAAGGTGATTTATTCCGTCTGACTGGGCCTACTCTGCCCTTGCTGTAGCCTCTACATTTTCAGATAACTTTATCCAGAGATTACCCCACTATGTTACTATATTTGATTATACAAAGGAACAAAGTAAAGGGGAGAAGGAGGGCAACAATTTGTATATAAAGTTACACACACACACACACACACACACACACACGAATATATATTAACATAAGTACAGCTGAATGAATAAAAGTAATACATTTCTGTAGATCTATGACATAGGTTAAGAAAAAGAATATTATCAGTTCATTGAAGCCTTTTATGTGCTCTTCCAAATCACATTCCTCTTCCTTCTCCCACAAAGTTAACCATCATTTGAATTTAGTGTTAGTCTTTTTCCTGATTTTCTTTATGCATTTATTACACTTGATCTTAGCCAAAAGGCTGAGAAACGATCTTTATACATTTATTATATATGTTACTATATCCCTAAATAACATATAGTTTAGGTTTGCAAGTATTTTGAAACTTAGTAAAATGATGTTTTATAATTCTGATATAATTTATAATAATTTATAATAATTATATTTTATAATTAATATATATTGTTATATTAATATAATATTAATATAATTTATAACAATAAATTCTGTCATTTTGTTCAAACTCAACATTATGTTCTCGATATTTGTTCATAGATTTGAGTTAATTTTCTCTTCTGGGTGATATTCCAATGTGTACATTGGCTAATTTTTACCTACTCTTAATGGCTATCTGGGTTAGTTCTAGGACCCTCTACCCCATAACAAGTAGTGATGTTTTGAACATTTCTGTGGGCCTTTAACACTGCATTTTAAAAAATGATTTATTTGGGCCGGCGCCGCGGCTCAATAGGCTAATCCTCTGCCTGCAGCGCTAGCACCCCGGGTTCTAGTCCCGGTTGGGGCTCCGGATTCTGTCCCGGTTGCTCCTCTTCCAGTCTAGCTCTCTGCTGTGGCCTGGGAGTGCAGTGGAGGATGGCCCAAGTGCTTGGGCCCTGCACCCCATGGGAGACCAGGAGGAAGCACCTGGCTTTTGGCTTCAGATCAGCGCACTGCAATGGCCGCAGTGCCCCAGCCGTAGCAGCCACTTGGGGAGTGAACTAACATAGAAAGGAAGACCTTTCTCTCTGTCTCTCTCTCTCTCACTCATTGTCTAACTCTGCCTGTCAAAAAAAAATGATTTATTTATTCGTCTCAAAGGCAGAGTTATATAGAGAAGGCAAGACGGATCTTCCACCCACTGGTTCACTCCCCAAATGGCCCACAATGGCCAGGGCTAGGCCAGACCAAAGCCAGAGGCCAGGAATTCCATCCTGGCCTCCCAAATGGTAGAAGGGGCCCAAGAACTTGAGCCTCCTCTGCTTTCCCAGGTGCATTAGCAGGAGCTGGAGCAGCAGTGGACCAGCTGGGGCTCAAACTAGCACTTAATTGGGATGCCAGAATCACAGGCAGCAGTTTAACCTGCTACGCCACAATGCCTGTCCCTAAGATAACCTAAAGAATAATTCATACAAATGGACTTCTTTTTAGGGACTGTGCTGCTACATCTTCTATAGGTGATGTCATAGTTTGCAGAAGCATTTCCATTCACACTAACTCCAGCATGGTTGAGAGTTGTTTCATCTCCTTGACAGTTCTTGCGATACTTTAGATTTTTTGGCCCACCAGCTGTTTGGCAATCATGATTTACAGTTCCCAGATAAAGAAGATTGATCAACTTTTTGCTTATGGGGTATTTGTAGTTCTACTTCTCTAAAATATTTTAGCTCTTTTATTATTTTGTTTACCTTTGTCTTACACAGTTACTATAAGTTATTTTTATACACTGGATACTTACTTTTGGTTTGTCGGTTTTAAGTTTTACAACTATATTATCCAAGTTTATGACTTGGCTTTCAATTTTATGGTGTCTTTTTGATAAACTGCAGTTACTCATCAATTCCTTTATTAATATTTTTAAAGATTTATTTATTTATTTGAAAGTCAGAGTTACACAGAGAGAAGGAGAGGCAGAGAGAGAGGTCTTCCACCCGCTGGCTCACTCCCCAGCTGGCCACAACAGCTGGAGCTGCGCTGATCTGAAGCCAGGAGCCAGGAGCTTCCTCTGGATCTTCCCACACGGGTACAGGGGTCCAAGACTTGGACCATCTTGTACTGCTTTCCCATACCATAGCAGAGAGCTGGATTGGAAGAGGAACAGCCGGGACTAGAACCGGTGCCCATATGGGATGCCGGCACTCCAGGCAGTGGCTTTACCCACTATGCCACAGCACTGGCCCCTCAATTCCTTTATTATGAGAACTTTAGAAACTTCCCTAGTGCAAAGTCATGAAGATCTATATTTTCCTAAATGAATTTAATCATTTCCTTTTATATGAAAGTATTTAAGCCATATGGAATTCCATTTTTTCAAATGTGATCTAAGAATCTGCTTTCTTTCCCACATGGATAACGAATTATGATAATGCATAATAAATCCATTTTCCATAATCTGCAATGCCAGCTGTCTATATATCAAGTTTCTATAAATGAATGGTTCTATTACTGAACTTTCTAGATCTGTTTTGTTCCATTGACCTAATGTCTCTGTACAGAAACCAGACTTGATATGGTTTTATAAGAAGGCTAATGTCTTTGTAGGGCAAGGCCCTCTACAATTTCCTCTTGCAGGAGGACTACCTTAGCTATATTTGGCCCTTTGAGAAACTGAGAATAAGATGTTGTGTTCCAGGCAAAAATTGACTTTTTTTTTTTTTTTACCTAGCATTGATTTGACTCTCTAGATCAGCACTGAGAACTTTCTCTGATGACGGAGAGAGTCTAAAACTACACAGATTGACAGAGTAGTGTTCACTATATTGAACACTTGAAAGTATGGCTAGCAAAACTTGGCAATGGAAATTTTAATTTAAAAAATTAAATAGCCACATGTAGGTAACAGTTGCTTTATGGATGTGCAACTCTAGATCAATTAGGAAGAAATGACGTCTTCACAAATACTGAATCTTCTTACCCATGAACATGGTATTTTTTTTATTTACATAGATCTTTTATAATGTCTTTCAGTACAGGACAGTTTTTTCTATGAAGGTATTTCACATTTTTTTTATATATATGGGGCATACCTCAGAGAATAGTTTAACAATTTTGTATTAAAATATCTCATGATTTGAAAATTTTTAAATTAATTTTATTTATTTGAAAGGCAGAGAGACAGAGAAAAACAGAGATAGACAGATGAAGAGATATCACCCATCTGTTAGTTCACTACCCAGATGCCTGCAATCTCAGGGCTAAATCCCAAAGCCAGGAGCTGAAAACTCAGTCAATATCTGCCACATGCATGGCAGGGACCCAACTTATTGAGCCATCACCTGCTACCTCCCCAAGGTATGCATTAGCAGGCAACTGGAATAGGGGTGGAGCTGGACTTGAACACACACATTCCAATATTAGATATGGGCATCCCAAGCAATGTCTTAACCTCTATGCTAAATGCTGGCCACCCCCTTCCTTGATTTTCAATTCATATGTTGCACATTTCATGGACTATATGTATCAATATATTTTTCCATATTTGCATTGAATTTTGTTAATATTCTGAAATTAGGTATTTCCCCCTTTTTAGCTTTATTTTGAAATACTTCAAATTTGCAGAAAAGTTGCAAGAATAGTACTGAGAATTCCCCTTTACTTGTTACTCAAATTCACCAAATGTTTATATTTTGCTACATTAACTTTATTCTCTCTATATATGTATATATTATTCCATATTCAGATATAGCTATTTATATATTTTGTTTTTGAACTATTTTATAAGAGGAAGGCAATGTCCCTTTACAGCTATTCTTCAGTGTGTAGCCTAATAATAATACATAAGCACAGTTACGTGATCACTTACAAAACCACATTTTAAGTGTTAAATCAGCATATTAAAATCTGCATATTTAATATTATTATAATTATATATTTGTATTTTGCTACTTGACCTAACAATGCTTTGAAGATTTTATTTATTTATTTATTTGACAGGTAGAGTTACAGACAGTGAGAGAGAGAGAGACAGGGAGAAAGGTCTTCCTTCTGTTGGTTCACTCTCCAAATGACCACAACAGCTGGGGCCGTGCCAATCCAAAGCCAGCAAGCAGGTGCTTCTTCCTGGTCTCCCACACAAGTACAGGGGCCCAAGCACTTGGGCCATCTTCTACTGCTTTCCTAGACCACAGCAGAAAGCTGGGTTGGAAGAGGAGCAGCCGGGACTAGAACTGGCACCCATATGGGTTGCCGGCGCCCACCGCAGGCGGAGGATTAACCTAGTGCGCCACAGCGCCTGTCCCTAACAATGCCTTTTATATAACATTTTCCCTGAACCACATTCAAATCCAGACTCACATACTGGATCTTGTCTGTCTCTTGAGACTACTTGAGGTTTCTTTTCAATGAAATTGGCATTTTGAAGAGAATAGGCATTTATTTTCTAGAATGTCCTCAATGTGTTTGTTTCCTCATGACTAGATTCAGATTACGCATCTTTGGAAGTAAAGTACTTAAGCAATGATGTGTCTTTTTTTTTTTTTTTTTTTTTCCATGGGCACAGGCGAAGGCAGAGTGGACAGTGAGAGAGAGAGACAGAGAGAAAGGTCTTCCTTTTGCCGTTGGGTCACCCTCCAATGGCCGCCGCGGCCGGCGCACCACGCTGATCCGAAGCCAGGAGCCAGGTGCTTCTCCTGGTCTCCCATGGGGTGCAGGGCCCAAGCACTTGGACCATCCTCCACTGCACTCCCGGGCCATAGCAGAGAGCTGGCCTGGAAGAGGGGCAACCAGGACAGAATCCAGCATCCTGACCAGGACTAGAACCTGGTGTGCCGGCGCTGCTAGGTGGAGGATTAGACTATTGAGCCACGGCGCCGGCCATGATGAGTCTTTCTCAGTATGTTATTTATGCAGCAAACCAATGTTCATTTGCCCCATTATTGGTGACGTTATTGTTGATTCTTGGTTAACACGGTATTTTACAGGTTTAATAATACGTGTTTAATTTTTAAATAGTGAGAAGATTCTCATAGACTCTATTAAGAGTCTATATAATATTTTATTCTTTTATTACTTTTTCTACTTTTGACATTCATTGATGATACCTTTCTGAATCAATTATTACTTGGTATCTACAAAATAGTGACTTTTCTAATTTTTCTTCTTTTAAAATTTAAGGAACTTTTCTGTCCATTTATTTATTTAGTCAGTAATTAAGTATGGATATATGGATTATTTTATTAAATGGCTATCCAATACAGTTATTTTATACTCAAATTATCCCAAATTTGGCTCATGGAAGTTCCTTCTAGCTATCATCTCTTTTTAAAATAGTTTCATAAATTTTTAGTATTTCCATAGTTTTCAGAACAAAAAGATGGTACAGATTTTTCTTTAATTTATTCCCTGGCCTTGGAAATCAGCCATTTATCTTTTAGTTCTTTTTAATGGGATATTCTGTAGCCAAGACTTGAGAATACAATGTTTCTAACAAATGATGTTGAGAAAGTCTCCAGTTATGCTCCACATACAATCAGTAGACCTTTATAATCATATGTGAACTTTTGTAAAGAATGACAAGGATCGGGGCCAGCCATGTGGCGCAGTGGGTTAACGCCCTGGCCTGAAGCGCCGGCATCCCATATGGGCGCTGGTTCAAGACCCAGCTGTTCCACTTCCTGTCCAGCTCTGCTATGGCCTGGGAAAGCAGTAGAAGATGGTCCAAGTGCTTGGGCCCCTGCACCCACGTGGGAGACCCAGAAGAAGCTCCTGGCTCCTGGCTTCGGATTGGCACAGCTCCAGCTGTTGCGACCATGTGGAGAGTGAACCATCGGATGGAAGACCTCTCTCTCTGTCTCTCCCCTCTCTTTCAAGTAAATAAATAAATCTTTAAAAATAAATAAATAAATAAATCTGTGCAAAAATATAAATGAACATTGTATAAAATATTTACCATGAATTGTCACCAGGGGCGATAACATATATAGGGGTAAAATATATGATAATAACAGCACAAGGTCAGAAGAGGGTAAATGAAATTAAGCATTTTTAAGTACCTGGACTTGTTCAGGAAATGGTTAAAATGTAAGATAGATTTTAAAGATATATATTATAATCTCTATGGTAGCCACTAAAAAGATGTATAACCATAAAAACAACAATAGGATAAGGCTGAAATCAATTCCATATAGAGTGATAGAAAACAAATAGCAGTATGGCAGACTTAAACTATCAGCCTTTGCTACATAGGAAATGACTCCAAAACGTAGTGGCTTAAAGCATGTATTACACCAACATTCTTGGACAGCTGGGCAGTTCTGTCTCTGATCTCAGGTGACTCACTCAAGAAATAGCATGTAACTGGCGGTTTCAGGGGTGGTCTGGAATAAACGTGCTCACAGATCTCATGGTAGGCAGGCTGGCTACCAAAATATATCTTGGTTCTTTATCAATGCCCCATTCTGGCATGACAGAGCAGGCTTGTTCTCACCAATTTCATTCACACTGATTACAAAATAAGGGGGAAGGCCAAATTCCAGTATCTTATTAATTTTTCAAGTCACTGCTGTGTCACATTTGCTGATTTTCTAATGGCAAGGTAAGTAGTATGGCCAAGTCCAGATTCAAGAGACAGAGAAATAAGTGCTGCTTCTTGCTGGAGAACCAGCAAAGTCACGCAGAGAAGTATATGTAGAAAAGGCAAAAATTATTGTGGCAATTTTTTTTTGACAGTTAGACAGTGAGAGAGAGAGAGAGAGAGAGAAAGGTCTTCCTTCCATTGGTTCACCCCCCAAATGGCCACTACGGCCAGCGCACTGCGCCGATCCGAAGCCAGAAGCCAGGTGCTTCCTCCCGGTCTCCCATGCAGGTGCAGGGCCCAAGACCTGGGCCATCCTCCACTACATTCCCGGGCCACAGCAGAGAGCTGGACTGGAAGAGGGGCAACCAGGACAGAATCCGGCGCCCCAACCAGGACTAGAACCCGGGGTGCCGACACCGCAGGCAGAGGATTAGCCAAGTGAGCCGCAATGCTGGCCGGCAATTTTTACAAACATTAAACTACACCAACTATATGTGCAGGTATCTTAAGTATGAATGTCTAAAGACTTGAAGTAAAATATGAATACTGTCAAACCAGATTTTAGGGGGTAAAATCCAAGAGAGGAACCTTAAAAAGACAGAGAAGGATTAAAAATAGGATAGGAGAAAAAACATGCAAATACTAACTCTAAAAATGCTAGGATACCTACTTTGGTAACTGATAAAGTAGACTTCGAGGAACTAGTCATTAGGATAAATAGGGACATGACAATAAAATATAAATCCAACATGGAAATTTAACAATCCTAATGTATACTCATTTAATAACATAATTTTATAATACATAAAGCAAAGACTAACAAAATTAAAAAGGACAAATAGACAAACCCACTATAATAGATAAGTGATTTTAAGATGACTCACATGAACTCACAGTTGTATGTAAGCATACGAAATTACCTAATATGTGAAAGACATAATAGCCTCTTTGACAGACTATATATTCTTCTCAAATGAACACAGACTGTTGATTACCAAATTGAGCCTATGTTTGATAATAGAACAAATGCCAACAGGATTGAAATAATATACCTGGCCATTGTGGGCATTTGGTGAGTAACCAGCAAATGGGAGAGTTTGTTCTCTCTCACAAACAAATTAAGATTTTATTTATTTGAAAGGCAGAGTGATGGGGAGTTGGAGGAGCTATCTTCCATCTGCGGTTCACTCCCCAAATGGCTGCAACCTTCAGAGCTGGGCCAGCCTGAAGCCAACAGCCAGAAATTCCATCCAGGTCTCCCACATGAGTGTGGCAGGGGCCTGAGTATTCATGCCATCTTCCCCTGCCTTCCCAGCAGTGTGAGCAGGGAGCTGGATCGAAAGCAGAGCATCTGGGACTTGAACTGGCGCTCTGACAGGGGATGCTGGTGTCACAAGCAGCAGCTTAACCCACTGCACCTCAGCACCAGCCCCATTCTCAAGTAAATTAAAAAAAAGGGAATTCAGAACTGGAGAAAATATTCATAAAGCAAATATTATAAAATATTGAGGAACTCTTACACCTCAACAATAAAAGAACTGAATTAAAAATGGGTAAAATAGGCCGGCGCCGCGGCTCACTGGGCTAATCCTCCGCCTAGCGGCGCCGGCACACCGGGTTCTAGTCCCGGTCGGGGCGCCGGATTCTGTCCCGGTTGCCCCTCTTCCAGGCCAGCTCTCTGCTGTGGCCCGGGAGTGCAGTGGAGGACGGCCCAGGTGCTTGGGCCCTGCACCCCATGGGAGACCAGGAAAAAGCACCTGGCTCCTGGCTCCCGCCATTGGATCAGCGCGGTGCGCCGGCCGCGGTGGCCATTGGAGGGTGAACCAACGGCAAAGGAAGACCTTTCTCTCTGTCTCTCTCTCTCACTGTCCACTCTGCCTGTCAAAAAAAAATAAATAAATAAATAAAAAAATGGGTAAAATACTCAGAAATTACTTCAAGATATGTCTATTAAACATATAAAATGTGTAATGAAATTGGTCATTAGGGAAATTTGGATCAAAGCCACAACAGAATTTTACCCTTACTAGATTGGCTAGAATAAAAAACAACAAATATAGTTGAAGATATGAAAAAAACTGGAACCCTCACACATTGCTGGTGGCTTGTAAAATGATACAGCCACAGTAGAAACGTTTAGCAGTCTTCCAAAAGTTAAGCTGACTCAGCAATTCTAGTTATAGGTATATACTCAAGAAAATTGAAACCGTCTTCACAAGTTTTTATAATGCTCTTAGCAGTATTGCTCATAACAGCCAAAAAGTGGAAAGAGCTCAAGTCTCCATCAACTTCAAGTGTGGTATATTCATACAATAGAATAGTATTAAAGAACAGAATAGTATTAAGTAACAAAAAGGAATGAAGAATTGGTTCATGCTACAGCATGGATAAATCTTGAAAATATGTTCCATGAATCCAAAAGCTGTACTTTCAAAATTTATATTTACTGGGGCTGGCGCTGTGGTGTAGCGGGTAAAGCCGCCACCTGCAGTGCCGGCATCCCATATGGGTACCGGTTCGAGTCCCAGCTGCTTCACTTCCAATCCAGCTCTCTGCTATGGCCTGGGAAAGCAGTAGAAGATGGCCCAAGTCCTTGGGCCCCTGCACCCATGTGGGAGACCCAGAGGAAGCTCCTGGCTCCTGGCTTTGGATCAGTGCAGCTCCGGCCGTTGCGGCCAAATAGGGAGTGGAAGACCTCTCTCTCTCTCTGTCTCTCTGCCTCTGCTTCTCTCTCTGTGTAACTCTTTCAAATAAATAAATAAATCTTTAAAAAATTATATTTATTAAATAAAAGTTTAAAAAAAAGAAAATATGTTTGGTGAAAAAAGCCAATCACAACTCCCCCATCAATGTTGTATGGATCCATCCATATGAAATAACCAAATAACCAAAACTGTCAGTTCTATGGAAATAGATGAGTAGATGGCTTAGGCTTGGGAATATGGAACACGAGCTGAGAAGGACTGCTGATGGATATGGGGTTTCTTACCTACATGATGAATATGTTTTACAATTGGATTGTGGGAATGGGTCCCTGACTATGAATATTCTAAAAAACAGTGAATACTTTCAATGAAAAAAAATTTATGATATTTTAATTATATCTCAAACTTGAAAAAAAATATAAATTCTTGCCACTAAAATTTATAAAACATTAATTAGAGAAACTAATAAAGACTCAAAGAAATGGAGAGATACATCATGCTTGTGAATTGGAAGACTTGGTATTTAAGAGGTTGAATCACCCATATATTTGTAGAGTCAAGAAAATACAGGTGAATTCTTCCAATTTTCCTTGAACAAATCAGCCAGTTTGGGTCTTGAAATACAGTGGAAATGCACAGGACTAAGAACAGCCAAAATAATATTGATAAAGAATAAAGTTTAAAATTTACATCATGATATTTCAATACTCATTCTAAAGATAAATTTGTATTGGTACAGGATTAGATAGCTACAACAATAAGACAGTAGACTATTGAGATAGTAACCACAGAGAGAAGGGCACTTGATTTATTTCAGAGATCTCACTGCAATTCAGGAAACAGTGCTAGAGCAATTACTATCGGAAAAAATGTATCTTCACCCCTACCTAAAATAAACAAAGCATTAATTTGAGATAGTTTACAGTCCTAAATAAGAAAGTTTAAAATAGTGCTTCTAGAAGAACAACAGCGTATCTTCACGTTTTAGTCCATTTTGTGCTGTTACAGAATACCCCTGACGTGTCATTTATTAAGATCAGAAATTTATTTCCTCACAGTTCTGGAGGCTGGGAGCCCAAGATCAAGACCCTTCTACCCAGTGTCCGGCGAGGGTCTTGCTGCATCCTCACGGTGGAGAAGGCGGGGTCAGGTGGGGACAAATATTGCTTCACGCGGCAGAGGAGCACGAGAGGGGACAAACTCACTCTTCCAAGGCTCCACCTCTACTGACGGCTGCCGGAAGATTAAATTCCCATTAAATTTTGGGAACAAAAACACTCAAACCATAGAACTTTATGCCCCTTTGATAGGCAAAGTTTTTTTTTTTTTTTTTTTTTTGACAGGCAGAGTGGACTGTGAGAGAGAGAGACAGAGAGAAAGGTCTTCCTTTGCCGTTGGTTCACCCTCCAATGGCCGCCGCGGCCTGCACGCTGTGGCCGGTGCACCGCGCTGATCCGAAGCCAGGAGCCAGGTGCTTCTCCTGGTCTCCCACGCGGGTGCTGAGCCCAAGGACTTGGGTCATCCTCCACTGCCCTCCCAGGCCACAGCAGAGAGCTGGCCTGGAAGAGGGGCAACCGGGACAGAATCCGGCGCCCCGACCGGGACTAGAACCCGGTGTGCCGGCGCCGCTAGGCGGAGGATTAGCCCAGTGAGCCGCGGCGCCAGCCGCAGGCAAAGGTTTTAAAAACAGAATGAGGCCGGCACGCCGGCCGCGGTGGCCATTGGAAGGTGAACCAACGGCAAAGGAAGACCTTTCTCTCTGTCTCTCTCTCTCACTGTCCACTCTGCCTGTCAAAAAAAAAAAAAAAAAAAAAAAAACAAAACAAAACAAAAAAACAAAAACACCAGAATGAGCCCTCAACCATAAATAAAAGATTAATAAACTGGGTTCATTCAAATTAAGACCATCTGTTCTTCAAAATGACTTCATTAACACAGTTAAAAGGCAAGCAATAAGCTGGGTCAAGAAATCAGCAACATATATCCTACAGTGGCCCTCCCAGTATATACAAATACAGGTAAATAAACAGAAAAAGACACAAACTGTTTTTTGTTGAACAGGCAATTCAACACAGAGGATATCCAGGGGCGGTGCTGTGGCATAGTGGGTAAAGCCACCACCTGCAGGGCCAACATCCCATATGGACACCAGTTCAAGTCCCAGCTGCTCCACTTCCTATCCAGCTCTCTGCTGTGGCCTGGGAAAGCAGTACAAGATGGGACTTCCCCCTGTGCAGGATCTTGCAGGAGGCGCCTGGCTCCTGGCTTTGGACTGGCGCAGCTCCAGCCATTGCAGCCTTTTGGGGAGTGAACCAGTGGCTGGAGGATCTCTCTCTGCCTCTCTCTCTGTGTAACTCTTTCAAATAAATAAATAAATCTTGCAGGTGCCGCGGCTCACTAGGCTAATCCTCCGCCTGCGGCGCCGGCACACCAGGTTCTAGTCCCGGTCGGGGCGCCGGATTCTGTCCCGGTTGCTCCTCTTCCAGGCCAGTTCTCTGCTGTGGCCTGGGAGGGCAGTGCAGGATGGCCCAAGTCCTTGGGCCCTGCACCCCATGGGAGACCAGGAGAAGTACCTGGCTCCTGGCTTTGGATCAGCGTGGTGCGCTGGCCGTAGCGGCCATTAGGGGGTGAACCAATGGAAAAGGAAGACCTTTCTCTCTGTCTCTCTCACTGTCCACTCTGCCTGTCAAAAATAAATAAATAAATCTTTTAAAAACAAAACCAGAGGATATCCAAATGAGCAACATTTGTGTTGAGTTTTCCCTAGGGAACTGCAAACTAAAATCATATTGAGTTAACACATCACCTATTAAAATCACAAAACTTAAAAAGAAAATTGTAAGTGTTTAAAAAGATGAATTACTTAGAGTTTTACCCCATTCAGATCTTGAAGGCAAACTCTTGTTCCAGGCTGGGCTGTCCAACCGGAAGACTGCTAGCCTTGTGTAGCTGTTTAGATTTCTTACAGTGAAGACAAATTCTAGATTAAAAATCCAGCTCCTCGAACTAGCTACAATTTAGGTCCTCCAATAGCAGGTATAGCTAGTGGCGACAGTACTGGACAGTGCAGATATTAAAAAAAAATTATATCCCAAATGAAAATTGGTAGAAAGTTACCGTTCAACAGCACTACTCCAAAGCGTCACACAAACGTCACCTCCATTTTACAGCTGAGGAAACAGCAACTGGGAGATCATCACGGCACAGAGCCGCATAAAATCCCGCTCATCCTCACATACGAGGCGCACACACTTCCTATCCCGCATTCACTGCCACAAGCAAACCCTCCACGTATCAGTCACTGGATTTATAGAATTCCATAACAATCCATTCTGAATCCATACACACAAACATCATTATCTTACAAGTTAGAAGATAATTCATCGCAGACCTAAGTCTGATTAATCGCAAGACGTAATCCTCGAAACTCTACTCATAACTGGCTTCAAAATCTGACAATCCCAAATAGGTCATCAATGAACTTTCCCTCTACAGTCTCACGGGCACGGTGCTAGTCCCTTCCGCCTCCGCAGCAGAGGACAGTCGGACGCACACCCAAGCCCCCTAGGGCAACAAGCTGGTTACCGCGGCCGCAGCTTCCGGGCCAGAGCTCGGGCTCAGCTCCAGGCCCCGCCGCACAGCCCCGGACTACATTTCCCAGAAGGCATCACAGCGGACGTACCCTCCGCGCGGGATTTTCCGGAATGCCACTTGTGTAAAATGAAATAGGTCGGCTCAGAGCAGGACAGTGTGAGAGCCACACGTGGAGCAAGGGACTCTCTAGGCTCACCATTTTCTGGACGGCATTGCTTCCGAGCTTACGTTCGTCCGGACCGGACGCTTTTCCTACTTTAGACTACGTTTCCCGAAGGCCACCGCGCGGCTACGCCGTTTCGTATGCTTGTGCTGTTACGTCTTGGCGCAAGGATCCAGTGTGCGGGCTCGGTGAGTGTGGGTCGGCGCACCGAGAAGGATGCCGGGAGTATCAGTGGGCCGGCGGGAGCTCGGGGTTGGCCCTGGCTACATCTCCTAACGCTCAGCGCCCCGGGCCATTTACTTACGGACGTGGTCTCACCCCGCTGTGGCGCGTGGTTGCCCGTCTCCGCCGGCAAAATCAGCCCTGTCACTTTGGTTCCGGGAGCGCGGTGCTGTCAGCTGTGTTCCTCCGCGCCGCATTTAGCAGTGCGCGCGCTGGAGCCCCTCGGCGAGCGTCGTCACTGTGGCTAACAGGAGCCGGGAGGAGGAGGAGGAGGGTGCCACTAGTAGTGTGCGTCCTCCCTGAACCTGTGCGCTCGTGTGGCCTCCGTACTCCCCACCAAGTGACTTCTGCAGCCGAGCACCGCGCCGTTACCCGCAGTGCGGCTCCTCGCCTTTATGCTAGGGAGAGCGAGGCTCCTTGGAAGATCAGGAGTTTCTGATATGTTACGGGAAGGAAAACACCTTAATAGATGCCCTGTTCTGCCTTGAAAGACCTGTAGGGAAACCTGATCGCGCCCTGGCCTGAGGGTTGTGAGGGAGGAGGTCCTAAGTTGTCCTGGGATTCTGTCCTGCGTACTGCACATGCGGTGAACATGCACATCCAAAGAAACCTTGCTTATATGAAATGTATTCCTTCAAATTTCTACCCTTTTCAAGATGGTTTTCTACCTCCTCCGAAGTCTTCCTAAAGGAGACCAGCCATTGTGTGCTGTAAATGTTTTAGCTCCACTCCCAAACCACCCTACACCTCTCCTTTCCACCCGGTGATATGTCGCTCCTTTCTGGTCTAAGGGTTTGGTGAAAAATAACTATACCTTCTGGAGCAAAATTTGAAGAACTTTAAGAACTTTAACCTTATTGTGGATATTTTCAATCAGAATACAGAATAATAGGAAACCCAAGTGTCCAAAACCTCACCATAATTAAAATCATTTGCAAACACCCTTCTGTACTCCCCCCTTTCCCCCTTTAGTACTGTGAAAGGACACGAAGGGGTCTGTTCCCTCTGAGTGTCACCAGATAACCTGCCAGCATCGCAGGCGGTGGCTTTACCTGCTACGCCACAACACCATCCCCTGCACCATTTCAAAGTTCTATTATTTTGTCTTTCTATAGGCATCTGTAACCAAGAAGGAGATGTTTTCAAAAAACCCCTTTTGGCTAATAGCTTTCTTCCTGTGCCATTCACCTGCTCCCTTATACTTCTCTAAATGGGTAATTAGAGCTAGAGGGTTGATTTGATTCAGGTCAGATAAACACATTTAAAAAAATTTTTTTTAGTTTAAGATATACAAACCTCATGCATTTCATAAATACACACTTAGGAACATAGTGATTTTTCCAACCCTACCCTCCCTCCCACCCACACTCCCACCCTTCTTCCTCCTTCTGCTGCTGTTCCCATTCTTATTTTTTACGAAGATCTATTTTCAATTAAGTAAGGAGTTCAACATGTAGTGTGAAAATAAAACTATTCATCAACAGTCAAGACAAGGGCTGTTCAAAGTCATTGCATCTCAAAGTATCAATTTCACTAATACAGATTTTTTTTAGGTACTCTGTTAGTTACCACAGATCAGGGAGAACATGTAGTATTCATCCCTAAGTCACATTTTTAGGCAAAAATAATGCAGGTTGGTGCTATGTGAATCCTATTACATCACCTTATGTGGCTCTTAAAATCTGGTATCCCACTTCTGGTGGTCAGTGTTTAAGTGGTGTCCACTTAATTTTTCCTTTATAAAGTTCTCCCATTCTTTTTCACCTAAAGCCTGGGCTTCCAATGGAGGCAGGAGGAGTATTGCTCCTGTGCCCTGGGAAAGTAGTTGCTACTTGGGGATGAAGGAAAGGTGTGGCCTGAATCCTTTCTGTTGTGACTGGCTTCCACTGGATTTGTGGCAAGGCTGAGATTTTTCTAAATTCCCTCAAAAAGGGGAAATAAAGTTCCGAGTTGTTTATTTTATGGGCTCTGAGGCAAGTATGATCTCAGCACTTTTTCATTCTCTAGTGCTGTCTCCTCCAAATTCTGCACGTCCCCAGGAGAGGAGTCCAGGAAACTGGGCAGTTCCAACAGCTCCAAAAACCAGGTCCCGCGTGAGTTGCTTTCCTTCCTTCTTGGGTTCCCCATGTAATCAGGGACCATGCGCAGGGAGCAAAAGTACAAGAGTCCTGAGAAAGACCTAGCTTCACTTATTTAAGGATCAGCAAAACAGCCATTGTGGCTAGAGCAAATTTAGTGCAAGTATAAATTAGAGGTGAGGACAGAGAAATGGGCAGAGATCAGATCACACAAGACCTTGTTGTTCTTGCAAGGATTAAGATTTTATTGTAAGTGTATGGAATTGTAAGAATGTATTTTATTGTAAGAATATTGGTGAACCTAACAAAGTAGGTTTAAAAAAAGAGAGAAACAGACACCTGATTGGAGGATTAAAAGGAGAAGGAAGACAAAATAAACCAATAGTAAAAACTCAAATGAGATAGTGAATAAACTCAACAGGAAGTGCTAAAGGCACTTCTCAAAGGTATAAACAGAGTTTTAAAGTATTGTTTTTTAAAGATTTATTTTATTTATTTGAAAGTCAGAGTTACACAGAGAGAGGAGAGGCAGAGAGAGAGGTCTTCCATCCACTGGTTCACTCCCCAGTTGGCCGAAATGGCAGGAGCTGTGCTGATCTGCAGCCAGGGGCCAGGAGCTTCCTCCAGGTCTCCCACATAGGTGCAGGGGCCCAGGCACTTGGGCCATCTTCTACTGCTTTCCCAGGTCATAGCAGAGAGCTGGATTGGAAGAGGAGCAGCCAGGACTTGAATCGGTGCCCATATGGGATGCCGGCACTTCAGGCCAGGGCGTTAACCCACTGTGTCACAGCGCTGGCCCCAGAGTTTAAAGTATTTTGAAAGCTTTTAGTAACAGTACTATAGTAATCAGGGGGAAGAACTGTGATTAAACTTTATATGTGCAATATTATTTCAACTTTGTAAAAAATGTATGGAGAAAAGTAAGGTAGGAAATAATGGTGACATTAATTATAGTTATGAGAAAGGGAAAAATGTTGGTGTGTCCAATTTTATTTCAGTGTGGAGAAATTAATATAATCATTGTTTAACTTAAAAGATTAAAGACATTTAGCTTCATGATGACATAACGTAGATAGTGATCAATTTCAAAGTGTTTTTGTGGAATTCAAGTACAGTAGATACAAACTGTGATTTAACGTACAAATCTCTGAGCGTTGTTTGTATTACAGGCCTAGTTGTGTGGATGTTAGAGTTGCTTGATTTGACTATCCTGGAATTGTGTCTGTGTGTAGGCCTCGTGTTGGAACAGCGTATGAAGGTAATACATCATTGGATGATATTAGCATATGAATCGATATTTCTATAGGTATACTACTGGGTTCTCAGCTTTGAGTAGTAGTAGTTCTCCTGATTTAAGAACTACTGTGGAAACTATGTAGGAGGGGCCTGTGTTGTAGCACAGCAGATTAGACCTCCTCCGGCCACATCAGTATCCCATATGAGTGCCCATGACCCTGGCAGTTACAGCCATTTGGGGAGTGAACTAGTGGATGAAAGATCTCTCTCTCTCTCTCTCTCTGTAATTCTGCCTTTAAAATAAGTAAATAAATATATCTCTCTGTACTCTGCCTTTAAAATCAGTAAATAAATATTTGCCAAGAAAAAAAAAAAGAAACTACGTAGGAGCCAAAATTTGTGTCTTTATAATTTCTATATTCATAACTTCAGTATTGTTGATGGCTTACAGTTTTTCCAATTAGGAAATGGTAATTAATTTCATCTTTTTTTTTTTTTTTTTTGACAGGCAGAGTGGACAGTGAGAGAGAGAGACAGAGAGAGAAAGGTCTTCCTTTGCCGTTGGTTCACCCTCCAATGGCCGCCGCTGCAGCCGGCGCACCGCGCTGATCCTGGCAGGAGCCAGGAGCCAGGTGCTTTTCCTGGTCTCCCATGGGGTGCAGGGCCCAAGCACCTGGGCCATCCTCCACTGCACTCCCTGGCCATAGCAGAGAGCTGGCCTGGAAGAGGGGCAACCGGGACAGAATCCGGCGCCCCAGCCGGGACTAGAACCCGGTGTGCCGGCGCCGCAAGGTGGAGGATTAGCCTATTGAGCCACGGCGCCGGCTCATCTTTTTTTTTTTTTTTTTTGACAGGCAGAGTGGACAGTGAGAGAGAGAGACAGAGAGAAAGGTCTTCCTTTGCTGTTGGTTCACCCTCCAATGGCTGCCGCGGCCGGCACGCTGCAGCCGGTGCACCGAGCTGTTCCGAAGGCAGGAGCCAGGTGCTTCTCCTGGTCTCCCATGGGGTGCAGGGCCCAAGCACTTGGGCCATCCTCCACTGCACTCCCTGGCCACAGCAGAGAGCTGGCCTGGAAGAGGGGCAACCAGGACAGAATCCGGTGCCCCGACCAGGACTAGAACCCGGTATGCCGGCGCCACAGGCGGAGGATTAGCCTACTGAGCCATGGCGCCGGCCAATTAATTTCATCTTATATATAGGATTTGTGAAGATGGTAAAGTAATTAGGATTACAATAGTAAAGTAAGTAAAATAGTTCACACTGTTTCTACCTCTTGCATATCTATAGTAATCATGTGGGTTAATTGTTAATGAAATAATAGAAGTGACTAAAAAGCTAATTAAAAATAAAATTATAAATATTGGGAGTGGGTCTTTAGCACAGCAATTAAAATTCCTGCATACTATGTCAGAATACCTGGGTTTCATTCACGGCTATAGCTCCTGACCCCAGCTTCCTGCCAGTGCAGACCCCCAAAGCCAGAAGTGATGGCTCAAGTAGTTGTGTTCCTACCACTCACAGTAACCCAGCCTAACCCCAGATACGCAGGGATTTGAAGCAAACCCGTGGATGGAGTTCTCTTTTTGTAGCTCTGCTTCTCCATTTTTTAAGAACTACCGCATGCATTAAAAATACTATTATTAAAATATGATCATTAAAATGTGTATATTCCTGTGGAACAGTGGTCTTTCTACTTTTTATTGTTGAACATTATGGTTAGTGGTGCATTAAGTCTGTGATTATAAAATAAACTAAAAGTATGTTATTGAAAGGAAGGAGGGGGACTTGAGGTGGGGAGGGAGGGAGGGAAATGTGGTTATCCTCTTAGAATTGAATTATGAAATCCATGAAATCCATTCTCTTTATATTAATAATAAAAAAGAAGTAAAAGCTTGAATTTATTTATATGTATTTATTTTATTCTCATTACTCTCCTCTATTACATTCTACAGCCTATACACAGTATCAGAGTCTGTGCCTGGTGATCTGGTCATATTAGAGAGAGTCTCAGGGGCCTTGTTAGCACAGTAGGTAGCATATCAGGTCTCATCATCTGAAGATAAGCCTCTCCCTGGAATGGAAATTATACATGTTTCGTAACTTCTTTGTTCAGAATAATGCAAAATTTTCTTTGTTGTGTAAACTTGTTGGTACTTCTAGAACTTTATGTGGGTACATTTCTGTGAAATATAAGAATATTTGGCCTTGGGGCCAGCATTGTGGTATAGCAGGTAATGCCACTGTCTGCCACGCTGGCATCCCATATGGCACCAGTTCGTGTCCCACCTGCTACCCTTCTGATCCAGCTCCCTGCTAATGGCCTGGCAAAAACTGCAAAAGGTAACTCAAGTGTTTGGGCCCCTACCACCCTTGGGGAGACCCAGAACTCCTAGCTTTGGCTTGGCCAAATCATAATGTGGAAAAATGCTCTGAAATTAAGAGACATAGGAAATCCTTAAGCAAAAAGCCATACTGCAACATCAGAGGGTTCAGACTGGTGAGAAACCTTATGGGTGTACGGAATGTGCAGAGGTCTTTGGCCATAGTGCTGACCTGATTAAACATCAGACAACTCATGCTGATGAAAAACCTTACCAGTGGAAAATATGTGGGAAAGCCTTTATTCGTGGCTCACAACTCACTGAACATCAGAGCTCATAGAGGAGAGAAACCATATGAATGTAAGAACTGTGGAAAAGCCTTTAGTTACCGTTTACAAGTACTCTCCACCAGAGAATTCATAGTGGTGATAACCCCTATGAGAGTAGGGAGTGTGGGAAGAAGATCTTTATTCTAGACCGTCAGCTTACCATAGAATTCATAGTGGTGAGAAACTCTATGAGTCTAAGAATGTGGGGAGGGCCTTCATTCTTGGTTCACACCTTACTTATCATCAGAGAGTTCATACTGGTGAAAACAACCACTACAGATGTAAAGAATGTGGGAAGATCTTTTTATGTGCATCCCAACTTAATGAACATTAGAGAGTGAGAAACCCTACGAATATAAAGCATGTGGAGGACCAGCTGGAGTTGGGCCGATCGGAAGCCAGGAGCCAAGAGCTTCTTCCAGGTCTCCCACGTGAGTGCAGGGCCCAAGCATTTGGGCCATTTTCTGCTTTCCCAGGCCATAGCAGAGAGCTGGGTTGGAACTAGAACAGCCACGTCTCGAACTGGTGCCCATATGGGATGCCAGCACTGCAGGTGGTGGCTACACCGCAGTGCTGCCCCCATACCCTGTGATCTGCTTAAGTCATGGAATGTTCTGTGGGAGCTCGTGTGGGACCCCTCTACCATCCTGAGGGGGTCTGGCTGCTTAGGGGAAGTTCCAGGGTCAGTGGACCCTGGAAGATGTAGCCCAGAGTCCTGACAACCTTTGACCGTTTGGCACCTGATGGCCTCAATTCACAGGCCCTGGCCTTGGGCCCCATCCATATCTTCAGCAGAGGCCGCCACTCAAAGCAGATGACTTCAGAGAATTCCAGACTGCTTTTAGGATGTTTCAACCAAGGCCTCCACGCTGCTCTTCTCTTGAAAAACGGTGGCAGCCCGGGGGACCACAACTGTAAGCCCAGCTCCTCTTCGTATTGGAAGTGGCCCTGGACATGACGGCTATGCATGTAGGGATGTGTAGTCCAGAGCCTAACCGACACGCCGCAGTAGGAGGGTGTGATTCCTTCTGGGGAAAGCTGTGTGGGCCTCTGGGAAACATGATGTGGTAAGGAGGTCTGGTAAAATCTTGCCATCTAGCCGGTGGGTCTGTCTCTGCCCCGGCCTTGGCCCGGCTGTGTGGACATCTCTTATTGCACAAGCCCTGGCTGGCCTAGGATGAAGGGAAAGAGGCTCTACAGCACAGAGCTCGGTGTGCGGCCACAGTAGGGTCCCCTGCGAGAAATCCCTGAGAACTCCTGGAACCTGGATGCAGTATCCTTCACATCCTCAGAGTTATTCTCGTCTCCAGCTACCCTTAAAGTGTTTGGTTTAATGCCCATGACATCAGCATTGTTCTATAAATATGCATGCCATTCTTTTATCTGAGGTAAACATTTGCTAATTTAAAAATGTCTTTCCTGGGGCTGATGCTCCGGCACAGCGGGTTAAAGCCCTGGCCTGAATCACCGGCATCCCATACGGGCGCCGGTTCTAGTCCTGGCTGCTCTTCTTCCAATCCAGCTCTCTGCTATGGCCTGGGAAAGCAGTAGAGGATGTCCTTGGACCCCTGCACCCACGTGGGAGACCCAGAGGAATCTCCTGACTCCTGGCTTCGGATCGGTGCAGCTCTGGCCATTGTGGCCATCTGGGGAGTGAACCAGTGGGTGGAAGACTTCTCTCTCTGTCATTATCTCTCTGTAACTCTATCTTTCAAATAAATAAAAAAAATTTTTTTAATTTCTTTCCTTTGTTTTTATCATTTAGGTTTATATCATTTAGATTCAGACTTTCTGACAGAGGAATAATTTTTTAAGTATTTCCAAGCTCATCAGGTAAGCTATATTTTTCTTAAAAATTGTTTATTTGTGAAATATCAACTACTTGAAGAAAATGTGCAAGTTCACCCAAGTGAATAAATAGTACATTGTATTAATAGCTTTACTTCTTAGTTCTAATCTGTTTTTGCAGTCAAGTAAAAATCTTTTGTCTTGATTAGTTGTCAAACTTCTGGCTGGATTAAGTCAAGACTCCATACTAAAGAAGGAAAGATATTAACATACTCAAGGTTAGGATTGTGGTCAGTGGGAGGCTGGGATTAGCCAGCTCCTGGCTTCAGCCTGGCCCAGTGCTGCCCATTGTGGTCAGTTTGGGAGTGAACCAGAAGATATTTCTCTCTCTCTATATATATATATATCTAAGCTCTCTCTCCCTGTCTCTCTAACTCTTTCAAATAAATAAATAAATCTTTTTAAAAAAATTTATTTGAAAGGTAGCGTTTACAGACAGAGAAAGAGAGAAAGGTCTTCCTTCCATCGGTTTGCTCTCGAAATGGCTGCAACAGCCAGAGCTACGCCAATCCGAAGCTGGGAGTTTCTTCCTGGTCTCCCATGTGGGTACAGGGGCCCAAGGACTCGGGCCATCCTCCACTGCCTTCCCAGGCCACAGCAGAGAGCTGGACTGGAAGAGGAGCAACTGGGACTAGAACCCGGCGCCCATATGAGCTGCCAGCGCCGCAGGTGGAGGATTAACCTAGTGCGCCATGGTGCCGGCCCCAGTTAATCAATCTTTAAATTAAAGAACAAATTTTTAAAAGAAACTGGTTTCTAAGAGATGATTAAGTCATGAGGGAAGAGCCCTCCTGGGTGGAATTAGAGCCTTTACAAAAGACCTTGGGAGGGTCAATGTACATCATTTGCACAGTGTGAGAATACAGTGTTGGATCCAGAAAGGCAGCATCTTGCAAGTGGAGAGCAGCCTCACTAGCTACTGGTCCTGCTTGAGCCTTTGTCTTAGACGTCCCTGCTTCCAGAGCACAGACAGGTGAATTGTTTATAAATTACCCAGTCTTAGGTATTTTGTATGGTAGGGGTAATGGGCTAAGACACCTTAGTACCTGAAACAGCCTGGAGTAATAAACATAAAGGATTTTGTTATTCCTGACAATCCCTTTTCAGTCACAACTGAGTTTATATTAATGAGGTGATTATAGGAAATACCCTGTATCACCAGGTGCTAGGGGCACCAAGTATAGTATTAGACCTTAGCCCCTGACCTGGTAGGGAAAAAGGACTAAAGGTTGAGCTAATCATCAGTGGCCAACAAGTTAATCAATGATGCTTATGTAATGAAGCCTCTATTAAAACCCAAAGAATGCATATCACAGTAAATGCATATGGAGAAGAGAAACAGTTAAAAGGTAACTTCTTTTACAGTATCTTATTTAAATTTTTTAAATCAATGTGATGCAGCTCTGGCCATTGCGGCCAACTGGGGAGTGAACCAGCAGATAGAAGATCTCTCTGTCTCTCTCTGCCTCTCCTTCTTCTCTCTGTGTAACTCTGCCTTTCAAATAAATATTTAAAAAAAAAAAAAAGAACAGGCAAATACGGTCCTCAAGGATCTGCTTGAATAAAAGGGAGTGCTGAAGTAGGAAGAATGATGACTAAAGATGTGCATTTCCTAAATCTTAGTCACAGAGGGGGCTATAAGGAATTCCTGAAAAGTGTTTTACTTGTCTCAACCTCTTCATTGAAATCTGGGCTCTACCTGCTCCTCACTCATTCACTTGGGCAGAATCTTCTTTACATTTCTTCTGCCATAACCCATTGCCTCTCCTCTTGTTTCTACTGGAAAATATCACCCATCTGGTGATGTCATAGCCTTTATATAGGCAAATGTCACAAGACTTAAATTTTAATTTAAGCACCACCTTAAAATGAGACAGAGAATGAGCCTTTAATGATGTTACCATATAAAGAACAAAGTAAATGGCCTTTCATATTGAATCATACAGGAAAGGGCTTGAGATCTAAGCCTGCATCTCAAAGCAGAATCCAGTATGCCATGTGAAGGCATGGGAGAGAGAGAGCACTTTACTTTCAAAATCTGGATTCTACAGAGAAACTCTGCATGCCTAATGTGGCTGTATTGCTGTAGTTCTGCAGCATCACATTCCTGTACAGCTTCCTCTGACCATCCTGTAATTGTGGCTGATACTCTGGGTTGAATTAAACAACCACATCTCTGAATATTTACACCACCAGTGTCTCCCAGTGAACAGAGAAAATGCCTGCAGAGAGGGTCCTGGACATAATCCCAAACAGGCACCCCATAACAAAATACACCTTGTTTAAAAAGTCATACTGCTTGCCGGCGCCGCGGCTCACTAGGCTAATCCTCCGCCTAGCGGCGCCGGCACACCGGGTTCTAGTCCCGGTCGGGGCGCCGGATTCTGTCCCGGTTGCCCCTCTTCCAGGCCAGCTCTCTGCTGTGGCCAGGGAGTGCAGTGGAGGATGGCCCAGGTGCTTGGGCCCTGCACCCCATGGGAGACCAGGAGAAGCACCTGGCTCCTGCCATCGGATCAGCGCGGTGCGCCGGCCGCAGCGCACTGGCCGCAGTGGCCATTGGAGGGTGAACCAACGGCAGAAGGAAGACCTTTCTCTCTGTCTCTCTCTCACTGTCCACTCTGCCTGTCAAAAAAAAAAAAAAAAAAGTCATACTGCTTTTGATTTTCAGTCTGGAACAAATGTCTGAATGTTAAATGTTTATATTAAAAATGCTATACAGTATTACTTTCAACAATGAAGCGTTTTCCTCAAAAATAGCCACCCATGCGGTGACCTTCAGTCAGGTGATCACCTGCATACCCACTATTCACAGAGCCATACACAATGTTTTACCCTCTGACACACACACACACACACACACACACACACTTGATCCTCCACTCTCTCTCTCTCTCTCTCTTTTTTTTTTTTTTTTTTTTTTTTTTTTTTTTTGACAGGCAGAGTGGACAGTGAGAGAGAGAGAGAGACAGAGAGGAAGGTCTTCCTTTGCTGTTGGTTCACCCTCCAATGGCTGCCGCGGCCAGTGCGCTGCGGCCGGCGCACCGCGCTGATCCGAAGGCAGGAGCCAGGTGCTTCTCCTGGTCTCCCATGGGGTGCAGGGCCCAAGCACCTGGGCCATCCTCCACTGCACTCCCTGGCCACAGCAGAGAGCTGGCCTGGAAGAGGGGCAAGCGGGACAGAATCCGGCGCCCCGACCAGGACTAGAACCCGGTGTGCTGGCGCCACAAGGCAGGGGATTAGCCTAGTGAGCCGCAGCACCCGGCCCCACTCTATCTCTTGACCGCACATCTCATACACAGCAGTTTCACTCAAGTACCCCTCAAATCCAGTCACATCCGCAGTCAGCACGGCCTCACACGCACTCAAGCCCACCTTTGCCCACTCTCACGTACAAGAGTGGGCTCAGCGACTCTTGGTTTGGCTCTGCCGCCTGGCCCATGCCTGCCTCAAGAGCTCCCGCGAAGTCCTAGTGCAGAAGGAATGCCAAGCGGCTTCTAGGCACAGTCCGGTCCCTGTGGCCAGCCAGGCCCATCCAGTGCATGGCGAGGTCAGGCACTGCATTTCCCAGAAGGCCATGCAGCCCAGCAAGCCGCAGGGTAAGTGGTGGAAGTCTGCGAGCCGCACTCTGAGGCTGGGTTGTGTCAGAAAACCACAGGACCAAGCAAGAAAGACAACAAAGACGTTGTCAAACATCATTGCAAAGGCCAGCTTCGAATACAGTAGTAGCTGGATATTCATAGCTAACTGGGCAGAGTGAGGGAGATAGTGCATAGTAAATTACCAGGGGGAATTTAAGCATCAAGGGGGTGGGAGGGTGTTGCTAAACCAGCTTGACAGGATTCTTGCTGAAGTAGGGTTCTGGGGCCAAGGAGGAGGCCTAACCCGGCTCCCTTCAAACTCCCCACCCCAAAAAAGAGATTCAGAGGAGCCTGATTTGTTGAAATGAATACACACACACACACACACACACACACACACACACATATATATGTAACTAGCGGATGCTGAATACCAATTGCTTCTGTACTGCGTGCTCAATGACTTAATGCGAGATGTCCCGCGTAAGAAAAGAAGGGGGGGATTAATTGTACCTCCATGACAGGCTTCACAAACTCCAGGAAGACAGGAAGGCCCAATTCTTAGAAAACGAAACTTAATAAATACTTCCTGAATTTAATGCTCTCCTACTTCCTTGTGTGACCTCTTCCTTCTGTGACGCATAGTCCCCGGACTGCTGAGATGCACCAATAAAATGCTCAAATTTAGGTAATTACCATATAGAGAATAAGGAACTAGCATACGTGTGTAATGACCAATGTACTTGTTTACTCAAGCGTATAAAAACGCGGAGGAGAGAGGCGGGGCTTCTCACTCCCGCGCTGCACTAGGTTGTATGTGGGAGCCCCCAGCTAGCTGGCAATAAAACAATAAATCCTCTTGCCCTTGCATCTGTGACTGTCCTTTGCGGGTTAATTGGGAAAGGTATCGGATCCCATAATTCAACAGATTGAAGTTTGGTCGAGGGCGTCCTGGTCAGCTGAGAACCCCAGAAAACCCCAATAACAGCTCCCCCGGTTTGGGCCGGATTCAGGGTTCCCGCCACGGGAAAAAGCCACCTGTCGCTTTCTGGACTACAACTCCCAGAGGCCCCCGGGCCCCGCGCTCCTCCCGCGAGAAGAGAGGGCGGGCTCTTCAGGCGACTCTGGGCGAATAGTCACAAGGCTTTGTAAAGGCTGGGTTCGGTTTGTGCCGGCTGGAGTGGAGCGGAACTTACCCCGTCGCAGGAGGCGTAGGTGAGGCGGATGCGAACTGGCGTCTCCGGAACCCGTGGCCTTTGCAGGGTGTGTGGAGGAGCGGGCTGAGAAGCGGAGATTGCGTCTCCGTGGTGGGCGCAAGTGTAACCGGACACGGACTTGCGCTGCAATTAGGGTTTGTGCGTGAGTGACTGGAGTTTTTCGCGGCGTGACCGGGTTTGGCATTGTGTGGGCGAGAGTGAGCTTCCGGGTCCGCGGCTCTGTGCGTGTGTGACTGCTACACTCTGGGCGTAGGGACGCCTTGACTGAAATCTGTGGCTGTTTCCCCGTGCGTTTGTGATGTTGTTGGTGAAGGGTGCTTGTGAATTTGTCCTCTGCGCCCCCAGGAGTTTGCGAGGTGGCTGTGGGCCCTCTGTCCCCACGGAGGGTGCGATCGTGTGGCCGTGTGCACCCCTTTGTGTTTGGGTCTGGGGTGCCTGTGACCGACTGTGTGTATTGCCAGCGTAGGTGTGTGGCGTCTTTGTGCCTGTGGGACCTCGGTCCCAGGAGGGCTCGGTGCGCCCAGGGGCAGCTTCCGCCCCCAGCTGCGGTGGCCCTGCGCTTGTCTGCCATGCTCGGACCTCCTTCCCCAGGGGGCAGGCGGTGACGCCTCAGCCGCGCGGGCTCGGGTCCCGGTGGAGCTGACTCCCGGAAGAGCCCGATGGTTCCTGACTCTGCTCTCCCTTCCCAGCTCGGCCGCGCTGGAGGAGAGGCCTCCCGGCAACGCGGGGAAAGCATGGCTTAAGAATGGCTTTTGGACGTCCGCGGGGCACTGGCCAGGTAGTTTGTGGTTTCCTCAAATTCCCTGTTCTTGCTTTCTTTTGTAAGTGCCTGCTCCCCAGGGGACCCCCACCCCCGCCGATTCCTCTGGGAGGAAATGTGAGGGCTCCGAACCCCAGCTTTCCCTCCTCCCTCATACCTGAACTCCCCTGATTAATTTGTCTCATGAGTTTAATTTTTCTTTATGCTGTCTTTTTTTTTTTTTTTTTTTAAAAATACTGTTTCTTTCTGATTATAAAAGTAAAACATGACTATTTTAAATCTCAAAGGTACTGAAATTTCCAATGAAGAAAATTTGAATTCTGATTCTGTGCCTCTCTAAAACACAGAGTGATAGAGGGGTGGGAGAGAAAAGTTTTGAAAATTCCCTTTCTGATGTCCTCTAAACCTTGGATTCCATTTATATACACATTTTTTCCTTTCTTTGAACCTCTAACTTCGGCCTGGAGTTGAGTAGAAACATGCTTATAATTTCTCCTTCAAATCTTTATTGGGCTTCAGATAAGCCCAAGGTATATTGAACTTTTGAGTCAACAAGCAGGTTACTGGTAACTGCCTGGGAAAGACAGGTTAAAGGTTCTTCATACACGGTGTCCTTCCAGTCTCTGCTGTCTCCAGTTCTTTATTATTGCTTCAACTTTGTTTTATTCTTAGCCTTCTGAAATAGCTCTCTTAGATCTAGAGGGTGTGAAGATTAGATACTGATTTAGATAAAGATATTTACTGTCTAATATTTTTAATATCTATTCCAGTCAGGTCTGATTTGTTCTCTGTCTTCTACGCATCACACTTCATTTTTAACTTTCCTTTCCTCTCCCTGTACCGCAATGCTCTGTCAAGTAGTTTCTGTTCCTACATCTTTGCCATCTGTTCTCATCAACCCTTCAGTTCAAGTCTTGACTATGTTGGAAAAAGTTGTATATAATTTTTTAAAGATTTATTTATTTATTTGAAAGTCAGATTTACAGAGAGAGGAGAGGCAGAGGAGGCAGAGAGAGAGATCTTCCATCCACTGGTTCACTCCCCAGTTGGCCGCAAGGGCCAGAGCTGCACCGATCCGAAGCCAGAAGCCAGGAGCCAGGAGCTTCTTCCAGGTCTAAAACATGGGTGCAGGGGCCCAAACACTTGGGCCATCTTCTACTGCTTTCCCAGGCCATAGCAGAGAGCTAGATCAGAAGATGAGCATCTGGGACTAGAACAGGTGCCCATATGGGATGCCGGCAATTGTTTTACTTATATAAATCCCTCTGTAATAAATTCTGATCTCAGCTGCTTAATATTTGAATGAGAGATAATATCTTTCTGCAAATGTTAAGATTGAAATAAGGTGTGTGTAGAACTCCTGATGCTCATCCACTGTTTGATAATTGTGAGCTCTCTTTTTTCCTTACTTCCCATTCTTAGGCCCTTTATGGCAATTACAGTATAAAGCATTTAAATAAAGGTGTTTGGTTTTCCCAAAGAATCTTCTATGCAAGTTTTGCTCCATACAACTAGGATTGTGTCTTTTAATTCTCTTATATAAATAGCTTTTTACTCCATTTAAATTTATTTTGCTGTGTAATAGTAATCTAAATTCAATTTTTTCTCATTTACCCAGTATTATTCCAATATAATTTATTTAATAACTTATTCCCTTTGCCTTTACTTTGTACTGCCTACTTAGTGATGTACTATTTAAATAGCTTGTGTTATATTTTTAAATTTTTTCATTTCATCGACTTATGTCTCTGCTTCTACCTGTACCATGTTTAGATTCTTTTTAAAATCTTTGAATACCTGATCAAATATGTCACTTTTTTCTTGAAGATTGCCATAGTCTTTATTCCTTTCAAGAATTCCTTGTTATAGTACACTTAGGAATCATAGAGAAGCATAAGGAAAAACCAGAGGTTACTATAATTCTATAAATTAGAGATAACTACTGTCAAATTGTTAGCATAAATGCTTATTTTTTAATTAGATTCTTCTGTGGCTACTGACCTGTTACTGATTTTATCATGCCAAAATACAAATGAACAGCTGTGTTTGTCATTAATATTTATCTTTACCATGAGTTGTAATAGCCCTTTGGTGTTACCATTTCATCAAACTCCTTTTGTTGAACATACTTTACTTAAAAATTATTGACATTATAAACAATGACTATCTCCTAGTGGTTAAATTTTTTTTACCTAAATTATAATCACATGCATAATTATATATTTTTATTGTGAAAATGATTTATATATTATAGATAGGCTCAAGTCCCATGTGACAACAGTCCCTCAATCTATTGAAAGGTAACTACTGTTACCAGTTATTCATCCTTTTTATTTTTGTCTCATGCATTTAAGTATGTACACATGTCAGTGTGTGTCTGATAGGGTTTTGTCCCTTAAAAATATGTCTATACAAAGAAGATCATAAGTGAATACTGCAGAATGTGGAAAATAAAGTAACTACATTATAGATAGTTGGTTCAAAGAGTGAAGGGGTTCGTGAACCCCTAGAACAGTGCCTAACGCATTGACTTACTGTTACTGTTCTGAAACTTGCCTTTCATTCTGTGTGTAGAATTATCCACATAGTATGGAGCTACCTCACTTCCTCACTTCAGTTCCTTCGTGTAAGACCATATTTTATGGCCGGCGCCGCGGCTCACTAGGCTAATCCTCCGCCTAGCGGCGCCGGCACACCGGGTTCTAGTCCCGGTCGGGGCGCCGGATTCTGTCCCGGTTGCCCCTCTTCCTGGCCAGCCCTCTGCTGTGGCCAGGGAGTGCAGTGGAGGATGGCCCAGGTGCTTGGGCCCTGCACCCCATGGGAGACCAGGAAAAGCACCTGGCTCCTGGCTCCTGCCATCGGATCAGCGCGGTGCGCCGGCCGCAGCGCGCCGGCCGCGGCGGCCATTGGAGGGTGAACCAACGGCAAAGGAAGACCTTTCTCTCTGTCTCTCTCTCACTGTCCACTCTGCCTGTCAAAAAAAAAAAAAAAAAAAGACCATATTTTATAATACTATGGTGTGTTTAGTAATTTTCTGATTTTTAAGTATTTAGATTTTATATAGTTATCACTGTTCCAAACAATGGTCCAATGAGCTTCTATGTATAATATTTCTCTAAGATACATACTAAAAGTGAAACTACAGAGATAATAGAATATTTTCCAGGATTTGGCCACTGGGACCCATTCAGGCTGGTTTCTGTATCCTTTGGAGTTCTCTCAACAACACAGAACAGTTCTTTACATCCTGGGATGATGAGATACTCCATCCTCATTCCTAAATACGGTTCTCTTAGTTCCAGACTGGAATGAACCACTTCTCTAAAAAGCTGTTTCCTGGCAATGAAGAATATTGAGAAATGAAGATCTATATATGTGGTAGGATTACAGCATTTCTTCTAGTCTCAATGTGTTCCACAATTTTATTTACCATCTTCAGTTAAAAATCTGGCTTTCCTTGTTTTCCTTGTATTTAATTTTAATTTTAATTTTTTATTTTTAAAGATTTTATTTATTTATTTGAGAGGTAGAGTTACAGACAGTGGGAGGGAGAGACAGAGAGAAAGTTTTTCCTTCTGTTGGTTCACTCCCCAAATGGGTGCAATGGCTGGAGCTGTGCCGATCTGAAGCCAGTAGCCAGGTGCTTCTTCCCAGTCTCCCACATGGGTGCAGGATCCCAAGCACTTGGGCCATCCTCTGCTGCTTTCCCAGGCCATAGCAGAGAGCTGGACCGGAAGAGGAGCCCCTGGGACTTGAACCAGCACCCAAATGGGATGCTGGTGCCGCAGGCGGAGGATTAACCTACTGAACCTTGGCTCCTGGCACTGGCCCGTTTTCATTCTATTTACTATTTTCTTTAATTATAAGGTATGTTAGCATATAGTTTTAGAATGCTAACCTATGCTGTATTAAAAATCAAACATAGTAAGCAGAGCTCAGTATTTATAGTTCTTTGTCTTTAAACTGAGGGATTGTATCAAAGTAATGTGTTCAGGTTTAGGTGGATTGCTTTTCCCCTCATTCAGTATGGTTGTGCTTTTCATTTGAAGTACATTTAGGTTTACTTGTTTCTGTTTGTATTCTGTTTGATGTCACTCCATCTCTTGTTTATTTGATTGTATGAGTGTAAAGCATTAAAATGTTTCCAGAAGTTAAAATGATACAAAAAGCTACAGTTACAGCAGTGTCACTCTGCTCTCACAGCCCTTGTTTAGTGAGTGTTAGAGGCTAAATTGTGTACCCTCCAAATTCATATGTTGAAGAGCCTAAACCCCAGTACCTTAGAATGTGACAGTATTTGGAAGTAGGGGCTTTAAAGAGATGACTAATATAAAGCAGGGCTTTTGGGGTAAACTCTCATCCTATCTAATGTTCTTATAAGAAAGAAAATGTGGACACACAAAGATCCATCAGGGACTCTCACAGGAAAGAGCACATGAACATACAGCGAAGAAGTGAACCTCTGCATATCAAGGAAGGAGGCCTCAGAAGAAAACAGACCTGTTGATACTCTGATCTTGAACTTCTAACTTCCAGAACTGTTATGTAAGCCAGCCAGTGTGCATTTTGGTATTGCAGAGCTAGCATAGTAAGATAGTAAGGAAGTTATTTCTTCCTGGGTCACAGTAAGTACCGCCCCTGTATTATGCTGAGATCGGACCTAGATCTAGTGGCAACAGAATGATTCTGATGGGTCAGGAGAATGATCATAGCCTGAAGATATAGCTCCTGGTGATGTTAGGGTTTTCAGTTAGAGGAAGACTGTCTTTTAGACACTGAACTGCAAATTATTTCTGGCAAGAGAATTCCAAAGCGACTTAAGGGGTTCAAGATGGTTAGTTTGGTTGGTTAGATTGGTCCCAACCAGATGTCCATATTCCCTATTTCAGTACCTCATTCTTTAGCAGTCATCCCCCTAACTTTCATGTGAAAAGCATGACAAGACTGAGCATCAACTGTCGTCATAATTCAGCTGCCTGAACAATTTTCTGTTTGATTTTTAGCTATATCAGCCCTTG